GGTAACTATAGAAACGAGCCGCAAGGCTCGAATAAACGTATCTCTTCTTGCAAAATTGTTCATTTTTGTGCGCGATCTAAGCGCGAATCAGGGAGAAATTACTGTATTTTGAAATCGTTAACGTCGTATCCAGTTGAAACTTGCTGGTAGAATATTCATAATTTAAGGATTAATATATTGATATTAATAATTTAGGAGTTGCCAGCGGAAGCAAAAGACGACGATAGTACCACAATTATTCCATCATTTGTTTACAGTTGAACCCTTCGAGGACGTACGCCAACACACTTTTTATATTTCTATTTAAGTTTAGTCTGTTCCTTAACTAACGGGCTTCTTTTACCCGCAAATAAATATATATACATTTTAATATATTTTTATTATACATTTATATATTATAATATAATATATATAATACAATATACTTCTTTTACTATACATTTAATATGAATACATTTTAATAAAAATAACGAAAGGTCTAAATAAATGCAATCTTTATCTCGTCATAAAGCACGTTAGTTACTATTAAGGCGCAACACGCGTTTAGCTACTTTCAAGGCTCGTTAAGATTAGTGTTGACAATGACTCCGATATGTTGCATCGCCAGTACTTGGTCAGAATCTGCGAGAAGCGCCATCGACCGAGCAAAGACGAGGCGAGCAAAGACGAGACACAACGAAATGAGACGAGACGAGACGAGACGAGACGAGACGAGACGAGACGCGAAGCAACGACAAGCTTAAACGTTCCGCGGCACCGTTTCCGAAGCCATTCATTCCGTTCCCGCCCCGTCCCCCCCGACCCAGGTCAGCGCACGCTTTTGATTGTTATTGATCAACCGTTTTGACTCTCGGTTGCATGCACACGCACGCACGCAGAAAAGTCAGAGAACGAGCCGAAGAGTCGAGGCACACCTATACGATTGCACACAAGCCGACCAGCGCGAGCTGGCATGCCACGCGGCTCTATAACGCTGCCACGACACATGCGAATATAGAGACGGCGGACCTTAATGAATCTTTATGGGATGGTGTCGTGAACTTGTATACCCTCCGGTGACTGACTGAACCCGACCGCGCGCTAACCATTGGCGCGACTCCGCCGCCGATTTCTGCACCGCGAAATCGTTCCCCTCGTTCCCGCGCGGAACCCCCTACGAGACGAGCAACTCGACAACCGAAGGAAATTTCCTGTTAACTATGTTTACACGTTTGTCAGAGGCTCGTGCCAGTGAACGAGAAATTTTCAAAAGCTTCTCTCCAAAAGTTCAAACGGAAGACCCGCGAACGCGACGAGCGAAATTTCATTTTCACTTGAATTTATTAACTCCTTGCACTGCGATTTCTTTCACAGCCACTTCTTGATCATTTGTATGATAGGACGAGACGATTTTTGTGTCTCGCGCGTCTTCCGTTTGCTTTCATTCCAGAAGAATCGAACGCAACGGAAGAATCTTATTTGAGAGAGAGAGAGAGAGAATCTCTTTTGTATTTATTATAATAGAGTTTCGGAGAGATCGTGCATGAAATCTGCGCCACGAGTCTGATCCGTTGTTAGATCTAGTGCAAGCGGTTAGGATCGAGAAATCGAAACTTTGCCACAGCTTCGCCTCTTAAATATTTGTTGAACGGTGTAAATTTACAGAGGAAACGCACAGTCCAGTTACGGCGATTCTCTTTACATGTTTCCTCCTTCGCTACGTTTTTATCTCTTTCGTATTTCAGTTTGTTGTAACTCTAACGAAAATTTCAGATTTAGTACTCAATCTCGAAAAATTTGGAAGTACGACTTCTCGATTTCACAAGATGAATGTATAGTATAAGACGGATCGATGTATATATTCTTAAGAGGCCAGAATTCTGGTCACCGAATTTTAGTAAACACGTTCCAGGATGGTGGAAGAGAACAAAATCCTTTCTGTACAGATTGTTGGGAAACGATGATCAGGAACGCCGATAAAACCCTGAAATTCTGAGACTATTTAGTCTAAAATACTTCTGCCTGCTCGCTACGAACTGGATGTAGACTTTTTATCGAATCGCATCGGATATTATAAGAGCAACAAAATTGTATAAATCACGCTCTAATAACTTGTAATTAACTTGTAATTACATTACAAAACATTCGATTTCTTATGCTCGCTCGTACTTTCTTGTGATAAACTACTTATGCACACTTGTCAATTTACTTGGTATAAACCAACGAGTATCTCGCTCGTAAATAAATAAATGAATAAATAAATCGTATGTGCCGACGAAATTTCTAGATTAGCAGCAGGACGAATAGAAAAAAAATGGAGTATTTGCTACGCCAATGGCGACGGGTTGCTCATTAGCCCCGACGCTGGCGTTGCCGCGGGTTTGATGGTGTTGACGCGCGCGTCGGTGTTCGTAAAATTTGAAGGGCGTGCAGAAGCTCCGTGGGGTCTCAACGAGTCGCGTCTTGATTGTCCTCAACCCGTTGCTCGTCGCGTGATATTGTCATTAGCCCGCCTAGCCCATGAACGTCGTCTCTTTCCACGAGGAGACCCACTTGGGTCGCTATGGATCGGTGTCGGCGGATCGATTCGAAAAACTTCTCACAAGTGGTCGCGATCGAAGCGTTTCCGGACGTTCGTGCGAACGGATCGTCCCTTTCGTTAACCCTTTCGCTACGGAGCGCTTGCGTCAAAATGTGATCGCTGCGAACGGAGCGCACCGAAGTACGGAATGTATTTCTGGTACCAAGTTTTCCGAAGTCCAAATATATTCAGATTTTTGTGATCTTGAGCACGTTACCGTTTGTCTTGCGTGGCAAACGCTTTCGGAATCGGTATTTTCACTTTCAGTATTTTCACTATCACTCGTGACAAATATTCTCCTAAATGTTCTTTTCCCCATGATTTGATAATGGGTCTAAAAAAATTAAATACTTAAAAACTCAACGTATTATCGCAAAGGCAGAAATTGAGTATTTACCCGTGAATTATTGAAATGAAGCCAACAAAATTATTTTAGAATTATAAATTCGTGTAAACCTTTTAATCGCTACTATTATAAATTGCTGGTATATATCCGTCGCTGGCAATGTTCTAAAGAAGACTGAAACTGTGTATCGTTGGAATAAAACACAATATCGTCTTGTCGATAGTGTTATATTTCATGATAGTCAATTGTTTAAGGCATGCAGCGTTGTCAGATACTCGATTAACAAAAGTATCTCGTGTAAAGTATGAAATAAAAGTGTATATATGGTATGAACGTATATGTATGGTCATTCTTCGAGGGCGTATGTATACGCTCGTCGGAGCAAAAGGGTTAATAGAAAGCTCGGAAGAAAGTGAACCAGAACGAAATCGTTGATCATCCGAGACACGAAGGTGCGAAACTTATTCGTCGATTTTTCAGCGAAAGCAGAATTCGACTTTCGTGGAGCGGTCCAGAAAAAGTCGATTCCAGCGAAATAAAAGATGCGACCGTACTACACTCTCGTACGATTTCTCTACCGATTAATGGAGATTGAAATTCGGAAATGAAGTAGCCGCGAATGACAAAGCGCCGACACCCGTTCCTACCGAAATGAAATCGACCCGCGGGAAATATACGACGGTCTATTTCGAAAACTTGCCGACAAGATTCGATCAGTGATTATTTATGTCCCAGGTACTTTAGACGAAATAGCACGCGAACTAGACGAAAGACTAATTTTCTGTCGGCATACGTTACACGCCATAATAAACGTAGGAGAAAGTGGCTCTAACGATCCAACCGTAGTAGCTGAAAAGATCCGAAACGATTGAGTTCTGGGCATCGAGTATACGCGCTGGTGAAATTAATACTTCATTGAAATTCGTATATAAATTCGTCAATCTTTCATTACATTAGGAACGCTCTTTGGCAACATGATATATAAACAGCCTACACGAATACAATAGTACCCGAAAGACCAACACATTTTAGTATAATTGAATTGGATGCTATCCAATATATCTTCATTCCCAGAAGAACATGTGTGTCTTAGCACAGTGCAAGCCCATGATGATCTATGTTATCGAACCACCGAATTCCATGGAATAATAAATATCCTTCATCCACTTAGCACGATTCGCTGTACAAAATCCATTAAATCAAACGTTAGAATGAATGCTCCGAACGAAATAAACACGTTATCGATGGAACTTCTATCAGCTGTTAAAGCTAATAAAACCAGGTTATGCGAAAGTAAACCGTATTTCTCCGAGACACACTGGAAGCAAAATTAGATTGACGGGGCTAAGCAGCACTAGCTCGCGAAAACTCTATGGTCGATACAATTGTATTGATAGGATTATTAGAATTGTTAACTCTTATGGCAACAACATAAATTTTTTCTGTGACTCTCGTATCTGTACTTTCATAATGTATTCTATATATGTCGTATGTATTTTTTTGCTGACGTCGTTGAATGTATTATTTTGTATTTATTATTATTTTATTTTGAACGTATGACTAAACGAATTATTATTATATATATCATATATAGTAATAATAATAATTATTATCGTTATTATTATTATTATTATTATATATTAATATTATTATTAAATGAATTGTTATTTGGAATATATTATTCTATATTTTAGACGGTATTTAGTCCGTTTAATTAACAAATCATAATAATATTCATAGCCGACCAAATCTGTACTTTCATAATATATTCTATAATATGTCGTATGTATTTTTTTACTGACGTCGTTAAATGTATTATATTGTATTTATTATTATTTTATTTTGAACGTATGACTAAACGAATTATTATTATATATATTATATATAGTAATAATAATAATTATTATTATTATTATTATATATTAATATTATTATTAAATGAATTATTATTTTGAAATATTCTATATTTTAGACGGTATTTAGCCCGTTTAACAAATCACAATAATAATCATAGCCGACCAAAGCCGACTAAAACGATAGAATTTCCGGAGGATCTACTTTCACCTACTCGATAGAATGAAAGATCAAACTTACCAGGATCCGAGGAGTCCAGGCTGGTGGGTGCTTGTTGGCTGAGGGGTCCAGGCGTGCCCCCGCTGCCAGGGCTGCGAGCATCGTCGTTGCCACCCGCGCCGGGGTACGAGAGCGACGAGGAGGGTGGCCTCTGCAACAAAAGGAAATCGCCGATCGTTACAAGCCGCGTTCCCTTGTTCATAACACTTTCGGTTTCGCCGGGGTCCGCGTAAAAGGCGACGCGCGATCGTTCCGCGATCCCGATCGAGGCTCGTCACGTTCGGTGGCTGGTTCGAAGCGGTGTTCGACGATCCTTGGTATACACGGTCCCGTTGCGCGTCCACGGAATACCATTTGACGAGCCCGCGCGGCACGCCGGCCGATTTCGATCTCGATTAAAGGCGGAGCACACGTACCACTCCTCGAAAATGCTCGCGGCATAAATGATTCGGCGACGCGCGCGTCCTACAAATCGACGCGACGGGGCCCGGCCGAGCGGAATATTCGCTCCGCGCTCGGTTATTCCGCGGGTGTAGGCCGTGTGATAATCACGGATCCTCTCCGCTCGGAGAAAAAACGGCGTGCAAAGCGCCGCGCGGGACCCGTGCGAGGAATCGACGATGCCCGCCCGGTTTCGGGAACGGGCCTAATTGTTCCACGCCCGGGCTCCCCGTCTTTCGCACCCGCTGAAGGATTTTGCTCGGCCAAACTCGAATGCCCGACGCTGGGCACGTCGGACTACTCGCACCGACCGTATCGGATATTTTTGCTCCATTATCTTTGCTTTTATCGACGTCTACCGGTTCCACGAAGTTCCTGGATACTTCCAGGAAGCTCGGAATCGGTTCATGAAATTCGATCGTGCGACAAGAATTTACTCTCGGTAATGCGAGGTGACTATTTCTTTTAAGATCGTCGATTAGAAGAATATTTTCAACCTTCGAGCGGTGGCGTTCGTCGACTCGACTCCGTATCATTAGAATTATTGCGATTTAACGGTAAATTGACTCGATACGAATGAAATGGTGATTCCACGTCAAATTGACTCTGTATCAATAGCGGTGACTTGATTTGAAATTGACGCGGTATCGATTAATGGTGTCGACTTGACGTCGATTCCGTGTCGTTGGCGATGCCATTATTGATATGGAGTTTTGTTTTATGTCAAGTCAGCATTATTGGCGGGGAATCTATTTGACGTCGAGACACCGTTATCGATAAAAAGTCGGTTCGACGTCGCGTTACCTAGCGGCGACCACTTGAATAGTGGCCGAAACAGTGGTCACCAGTTGAAGGTCAAGCTACCTTCTGATATGAAATGATCATTGAGAGTGATAGTAATATACTTTCCGTGGATAAAATTGCAATAGAACTTCTTGTTTCGGCTAATAGTAGCAAAAATAATTTCGTGACAAACGCACAGCTTGGAAACAAAAATGGAATAAATGTTAAATACTTATACTTATATTTATAAGAAACAAGCAATGCAATCGAGCAAGGCTCGAATAATCATATTTCCTGTTACCAAATTGTCCATTTTTGTGTACAAGGTTATATTATATATAAGTATAAGGTTATATATACAAGCTGATAAGTCTTTTGTTTTTAAGTCGATATATTTAAGGGTTTGCGTTTTCACACGTTTCAAAATATGGATGTTAACTTTCGAGAAGATTCACTTGTATTTGTTATCTCAGGATACTGATATTTTTCTCAGTATAAATAATTTCGTATAAACGTTAAAAATCCACCACTTTTCATTACGGTGAAGTGACTAACGCCACTTTCAAAATAAACGGCTCAATTAGGGAGAACTTACTGTATCGACTTTCCGTAAGCAACCGAACGTTTAGGTCATTATCGAGACTGATAAGGGCACTCGTAATAGGCGCTCGTCCTCCAACAGGTATTTCTAATTGCCCTCGCAACATTGCGAAATTCGAAATGCGACAAATCAAAGTATTTTTCATTATGAAAGAATGGTTTTCTGTATCTAGTTCCAAGCAAGGCAAGCCTTATCCCTCGACTCTATAAATCGGATCGAGATTGCGCGAAGTAGACACGGGCATTCCTATTTCCCTTACGTCATTGGAATGTCCGATCGAGGAATCGCCGGTACGATAAAAATTAGCTGAAAAACCGAAGTTGTTGCTACGCTAGAAAGATCGCAAATTCCCGGAGTGGCCGAAGTGAAGCTGTTTAAATCAGATATCTCCATTCGACAGAAAATGTCCGCGCCGCGCGGAATTTCAATGTTCGTCGCCGCATCTCCAAGGTGAATAACAGCGGTCGCGAAGAGAGAGAAAGAGAGAACGAGAGAGAGAGAGAGAGAGAGAGAGAGAGAGAAAGGGAGGGAGAGGGATAGAGAGAAAGAGCCGGACGGACAGCTAGTCGGGTCGGGAAGTCTCGACCGGTCTCCTCGTCGACGTTCCACGTCCTCGTTATGCGTCTCCGCGCAGGAAGGTCCTATAGATTTGACCGTGTAACGATTTTAACCAGATACGAGAGCAGGCAATCGAGAGAGGGAGCGAGTCGGTATATTATCGCGAAGATGACGCCTATGACAGCATGTGGGAGTAGCTGTCACTCATTGTTGCTCCGGCAGACGTGATATATCCAGACATTTCGCTTCGTGATACCAGCCACGGGATTCTTATCCTATGACCTCGAGTCGCGATCGATATCGAGATTTTCGCCTAAGCGAGTGTTCCGGCTGGCTGGAATTCAATTGCAGAAACAATCCTATTTAATTTTACGTTTCGCCTCGCGGAAGATCGGCCAGAAACGCTCCACGATCGATTTGTCGAAAAAGTGCTCTAAGAATTTTGTTCGGGGGGAAATTATGCAAAAACTCGAAGAAATTTTTCAGCGTCGACCAAAGCAGAGAACGGCGAAGCATGAATTTGCAAAAGCACGGTGGATCGGTACGAAAATATTTCGATGTATTTCGCACGCGAAGATTTGATTCGTGGCAGCGTTAGCGGCGGAATTGAATTTCCAAGGAGTTAAATAATTCAGCCGCGCGCGGTTTAATTAACTTGAAATAATTCCCATCCCGAACGTCTTAATTTTCATTAGACGGCTCGGCAATCACTTGTCCCGGACACGCAGAGGATATACGTCGAGTGAGCGAGTACAAGAGCGGTAACAAGCGAAGGGGGGACATTAATAATGCATCGGTTGTCGCTGGATTGCTTCCTACTAGCACCAAGTACGAAACAAAGGGCGCTGGTTGTCATTGTCACCTTCGAGGTGAAGATCATCTTGTTGGCCGCAATCGTTTGAATCGAGTAATTGCGTGGAAGACACCGAGCGTGCTGATGAATCAATTGCACGTTCTTATGTCACCGAAACGTGAACGGATTTACCGTCGACCCGCAGCCGGGAACCATAACCATAACCAACGATCGTCCGTGTAAAAACCAGTTCTCCTCCTTCAGGTTCTTTCACATCATTTTCTAACGTACGAACGCATAAATTAAGCTATTAATTCGTATCATCTTTTATACGTATTATTAGACTGCGGACTTTATGCGCTTGCGACAGGAATAATCGACACGGAAAATTGTCATTCTGCACAAAGTTTTACCACAATTACAAATTAGCTTCGATCGACGATTTCAAATAAGAGCGTTATTATTATTATTAGACCGCGGATTTTACGCGTGTATGGAAAAATTGGATAAACGCAATTTCAAATAGCGAAAAGATTGAAAGAATTTGACCTGTTAAAACAAGTGAACAAAGAACGAACTCGCTAGGTTGATTACTATTTCCTCCAATCGATGTAGACAAATGTGATACGCATAAAAATCCGCAGTCCAGTTATTATGATTTCGGTAATCGTGAAACAAGAAAAAGCTTTATAATGTAGGACGTCAGGAACAAACAAACCATCGCTGGCACGAACGCGATACATTTCAACTGACATTTTGATTCGATTGAACGAACGACAGTGGGATTAGAGGGTACAGAGAAGGGGGACGAAGTCTCGATCCAGATTCCGCGCCGCGAGGACACCGGTCACGGCAGATCGACGCCGGTGACGTCACTTCCTACTAAAGCCCCGTCTCTTTTTCGTTTTTTAAATGGACAGCAAGGGTCCACTGCGTGACTTGTGTCGATGCAATGATAAACGGTTAACGGGTCGACGGGCTACGCGGTCTCGTTCCACCTCGTTGCCTCTCTCGCTCTCCTCTCATCTCTCGTCTCCTCGCCGCTGCCTCCGCCGCGCTCCGTCTACAGTCGCTCTTAAAGCGTAATTCGACAAACCGGATGTCTGGTCTGCCCCTTAAATAAATCAGTTGCCCGCATCTCATATTCCACCCCTGCTCGCTGCCGCGTTACTCCCCCGCGTTCTCTTCTAACCCTGTCCACGAGGAAAAACATCGGATCGGGACACGTCCGCGACGTTCTGGAAAACCGAGCGACGCCGGCGATGCCGGTCCACGGATTTCAGAGAAACGTGATCGGTGACGAAATTAGGGCGGCACCTAGGCGACAACACCCGGTGAAAGGGAGAGTTCTGGGACGTTCTTCAAGGTTCATTCAGGTGGAATGTTCGTGAACCGAGAATACGTTCATTGTGTACGCTCGCGTCTTCGTGGAATGCTCCGATCGACTTTGTTCACGTTTCCGTGCAATTACATACGATTCGAATAAGAATGATCGCTATTGAACATTGCTTTAATAGGAATAGAGCTGGATGCTTTCGTATTCGACCAAGCTAAGTTGTTCGAAGATCGGCAAAGATTCGAGACATGGCGGCTTCCGACCGTGGAATGTTTCCGATCGATGTGTACAAAAATAATTAATACGCTTTATACGCACCGTTCGAAAGGTATTAGGATGCTTGCAGATAATTAAATTGATTTGACGTACCGATAGGAAATCGTTCGAATTTTTTGAATTTATTTCCAAGTTAATTATATCGAACTGTAACAAGTACGTGTTATATACAGTATATATTTTACATAACGTGAATTTTATAAAAGAAAATTAAATATTCTTTTCATCGATATATCCATCGTGTTTTTCAATTACTTGCTGGACTAATTTCGGCATTCTTTTCATTATGAAGTTAACTTAATATGTACTTTCGACAATATAATGTTACAAGCCTCGCAGGCATTACGTAAACTGAATGAAAAA